TGCCTCTGCCTCCCAAAGTACTGGGATTACAGGCGTCTGCCACCGCGCCCAGCCTGTTTTGCTTTTAAGAGAAAGAATAACGTGGCCAGAGTTTGTTTATTGTTCGAGACGGAGTTTAGCTCTGCCGCCCAGGCTAGAGTATGGAGCCTATGACGGCTCATTGCAACCTCTGCCTCCGGAGTTCAAATGATTCTCCTGCCCCAGCCTCCCCAGTAGGTGGGATTACAGGCGCGCGCCACCCCCTCCCAATTGTTTTATTGAGAGAGAGTTATTTATTTAGTAGAGACGGAGTTTGGCTATATTGGTCAGTCTGGTCTCGAACTCCTGACCTCAAGCGATCCATCCACCTTGGCCTCCCAAAGTGTTCGGATTACAGGTGTTAGCCACCGCGCCCGGGCTGTTTTTTGCTTTTCAGAGAAGAAATAAAATGGCCAGAGTTTATTTTAATCAAACCAGTGTAAAACCCTTCATCTTCTGCATCATAGCTTTATTTAAAAATTTACTTATTTCATAAAAATGTAAACAGCATTTGAATAGAAAAGTTTCCCTGCCCCAGTCCCAACTTTAGACATCATAATTGCTTACTATGTCCTGTGTTCCCTTGCTCACATTTTCTGTCTACAGTCATACAAAGGAATTTCTTCCCCAACCCCTATGGGATCGCATTTTCCTATTATTCTGAAACTTGCTTTTTTCAGTTAACAGTATACATCTGGTGGTCTTGTAGTCCTAGAAGATGGACTTCAGTTTACCGGTTGATGGCCTTCTCCACTCTTCCGTGGGGTCAGCCCCACTTGTCCCGTCTCCAGTCCATTGTCAGTTTGTGACTTAATGCTTGACATCATGTACAATCTGAGTCCTGAGCCCCCTCACACATTCACAAACTGAGTTTATGCACAGAACAGATAGTACCCGTACTTAATCGTAGAGGACTCACTGGGAGCACGTTTCACTCCATAAGGGGCAAAAATTGTGCACATCATAAGTGCAATATTTTTACAAGATGGCTGATTTCTGTGCCTCAGGGGTGCTGGCAGAGAGAGGTGCATAGAAAACTCTGTTCGGGTTACTTCCTCCTGGAGAACTGTCCCTCCGTTGCCTGCTTACCGGGGCAGGTGCTGGCCTGCGTGGATGGCTTGCTGGCACTTCCAAGACCCTCCTGTCATAAGGCTGAGACCTGAGAAGCCGATTCTGTCCCGGAGGTGAGATCTGCCCCATGATCGTAGGCTGACGGGCTCCCTGCTCTGGTACGATGGTTACTGTGTACCTCCCCTCTCACACTGTGTTCGTCTGGGTGATAAAATGTGTGGGGCGCCTCTCTGCCAGCTTCCTGTCCTCTTGGGAGATGTCTGCTCTTTGTGAGTTTGGGAAGCGACTGGGTCACCAGCGAGGTGGGCACGGGCGGAGGAGCTGCCTTCCTCGGGGAGGCGGCGCAGCGCGGGGTTCTTGGGGGACCAGGCCAGCGACCAGAACCGGCTCCCAACCCCTGAGGCTGGGGCTTGCCTTTCCCCGCTTGCCGGTCGCTGCGCCGCACGTGGCTTTGGGCGCGCTCCCGCTCCACCGCCACTGCCGCCCACGCCCTACGTCCCCGCTGGACCGCGTGGAGCCGGACCCCGCCTCCCTCGCCCCGAGATACCCGGGGCCTGCCGGGCACCTGCAGCTAAGCGCGGGTCTGCCCTGCAAGTCCTTGGTCCCCTCATTCCCGGACCTACTGGCGCCCCCCGGCGCAGTGCGCGTGAACTGTGGGCGATGGTCTCGCCCGAGGCGGGCGGCGAGCGCGGCCTCCAGATGCAGCCACCTCGACAGCAGCCGGCGCGCCGGGGCAGCGGTCGCCCCGCCGGATACTCGACCTGCAGGACTGCGCGGACCCCAGGCAGCCCGCCGAGTCTCCTGGAAACAGCCCAGGCGCGCGTGCCGACTTTAACGCCGGTTCCTCTGAGTGGCGTTACCAGTTTACCACGTATTACTAAGCCTGTCTTTCTCAGAGGGAACTTTCCGGTAAGGACAGTGTTTAATATTGTTAACGTATCGAAGGAGGCAATGAAAATGTGCTCTGCTTAAGCAAACGCAAAATCAATCTATTTCCGTTTTCTACTTATGCACATTTTTTTGCATTAAAGTTTGATTATTTTAAAAGTGGAAAATTAATGGGCAGTGGCAGAAACCGCTTTTGTTCCTCCAAAAGTTACCTTCTGCCAACTAGTTTTAAACATTTCACTAACAATTATTGAGTATCTTCTGCATTTTAAGTCATTATTTCTAAAGTTCTTGGTTGACATCTCGTAAATTTGAAAAATAAAGTTTTTCTTAAATTACGTGTGTATGTAGATTTTGTATTCTGCAAAATTAAATGAAGTGTGTGTGCGTGCGTGTGTGTGTGTGTGTGTGTGTGTGTGTGTGTGTGTCAAGGCCCCGCAGGAAGCAGCTAAGGTACTTAAAGGTCTATTCACGTCAATCCATCTCGGGACTGGAAGCATCCTGGGCTCCAGGCGCTCAAAGCTCCACTTATCAGGCCTGACTGGGATGATGGCAAAGCAGTCCCTGGAGCCCACAGTGATCTTGGCTTTAGGAGTCCTGCCAGCCAGGAGCTCTGACCTTGGGAAGTCGAGCAAAACTACTGCTGACTGTGGCCTCAAAGAATGGGACCAGGAACTAAATCCTGGAGAAAATCCTGTTGCCCACCTGATTTCCTGGCCAAACCCCCAAACCAGAGGACCTGAGGCCTGTGGACTCAGGCACCGGGAGAGGGCCGGGAGAGGGCGTGTTCCAGGGGAGACCCAGGTGGAAAGGGCCAGGCTTTCCTATAAGCTGCTTCATGGGAGGGTGTTTAGCAGAGCATCTGAGAATGCAGTGAGTAAAATGGACTGCCATACTATGGGTGTGGAGTGTCAGGGATGGGAGGACCGAATCTTAGCTGCTGCTTTTCTTATTCTCAAGAACTTTATGGCCCAGGTGGGGACCCAAGTAAAAATGGATAACAATACAACATTCTCTGGTGGAGGGTTCCTTCCCTACTTTCCCTGGCTGACATCACTTCCTAGAAAGGTCGTGTGACACCCTCTTAGGAGCTTGTGTTTTGCCCCTTAAATGTGAGAAGTTTGAAATACTAGTTTCTGAGGAGGCTTTTTCAAAGGTTGGAGTAGATTAGTACCTGTGAGATGAGCTAGTAAAATGGATTAATAAATGTCATTCTCCATGATAAACGTAGAGTTAGGGTTAGGGTTTTTCATACTACTTACTTAGGACTTTGAATGAGCTTGACTAGGTTCAGACCGAAACTTAGCTATGGTTTTCAAAAGAGCTTTGTAATATTTGAGTGCTTTTCCCTGGAAGCAGGGATGTGGATGTAGAGTGAATGATTTTTGTAGAGGATTTCTAAAATTGGTTTTTCAGGAAGCTTGTTTGTGATCAAAGGTGTAGCTCTATTCCCTGGATTCTTGTTAAATAAATTTTGAAATGAAATACTGTAATACCCACAAGACCAGCACTGTATTGCACTTTAAGAACTGGTGACCAGCACTGTATTGCACTTTAAGAATTGGGGACAGAGCTCCCTTTTTGTGCTCTCAGACGGGACGTGATGGTAGCAATTGTTGCTGTCTCCCCAGCAGAGCTTTGGTTTTCCTTTGGGGAACTTGCCCTTCCAGCATTGTCAGCCAGGAGGTCTGGATGGAGGTCACTGGGGTGAGCCTTGCAGGTCTCAAGTTTGTCAGCATTGCCTATTCCCCCGCCACACACACCCCCTACCCCTGTTATAGAGTTAAAGGAGAGATGTGACTCAGAGGTGGATGGATCATCTGAGGTCAGGAGTTTGAGACCAGCCTAACCAACATGGAGAAATACATGAAATTTCAAAAATACAAAAATTAGCAGAGCGTGTCGGCACATGCCTGTAATCCCAGCTACTCAGGAGACTGAGGCAGGAGAATCACTTGAACCCAGGAGGCAGAGGTTGCAGTGAGCTGAGATTGCACCATTGTACTCCAGCCTGGGTGACAGAGTGAGACTCTATCTAAAAAAAAAAAAAAAAAAAAAAGGTGGGGGTAGTGACCGGAGGCAGCCCTCCTTGGACACAGTGGGGCTGACAGTCTATAACCAACACAGCCATTTTCATGAGCATTGGGCCAGGAGACTACCAGTGGAGAACGGACACAAAGCCATTGTGGTGGGAGGGAAAGCAAGGACACGAGAACCTGGATCCCAGGTGACAGTACTGAACCTCAGACTACTTCAGTTATGTGAGCAAATGCAGTTCATTTAATATGAGCTTGTTTTCCTTTCACTGGAAAAAAAGGGGGATTCATAACAGATAACCAGGGAAGAGGGCAGGCTAGAGCAGTGATGCTAATTCTACTGGCTGGCACAAGGAAATACCAAAGATGGAATCTCCTTGGACCAATGGCATTTGCATGGCGGGAGATCATCCATCCAGAAATGCCAACCACCTCGCACTTCCACTTCAGATTGTGCCATAGCAATACCTCTCAAATGAATATGCATGCAGACCTCCTGGGGATCCTGCTAAAATGAAATTCCAAGATTCTGCACTTCTAGCGAGTTCCAGGGCTAGTCTGATGGATCACACTCAGAGGTAATAGAGAACGCAAGGGATAAGGCACTGAAATGCAAAACAGAGCCCAGGAGAAACAGAAAAATACTGAAGAAAAAGGGCAGAGATTCCCAGTGATAAAAGGAAGACTTACACATGCTTCTGGAAGCCGGATTTTTGTTTTGTTTTGTTTTGTTTTTGTTTGGGGTAAAAGACCTAGAGTTCAGAAACTTTGCTAGAGGCAACAGTGGAACTGTGGCTATCAGCTCACGGCCAATCTAGAAAGCATCTTTTATCAACTCTGTAATTGATAGCAGGCTTTACAGATAAGCGATTTCAACAATGTACCGCTCTTGAGAACTTCCGGTTAGAATTAATTGATCTTGATTAGGGAGGGCTAAACTTTAAAAATGATTATTAAAAAATATTCTGCCCAACAGCTCCATATTGATACCTTGAGGCAAAGCCCCATTCATCTGGCGTCAATTACAGTTCTACTCAGCCTGGAGGGGACGCCTGACTTCCCACACCTGACTTTCCTCTCCGCTCCCCAAGACCCTAGAACCTTCCGTTATCCTGTTACTGAGCATTACGGCCAGGCTCTCTATCTGACAGCACAAAGACAACACCCAATGTCAAGAGGAGCACTGTGTGACCCAAGGTATAATGGGACTCCAGAAAGTGGCTGGCTTTCCCTGAATTTCCCACTAGAGGAGGCGGGATGCGCCCGCGGTGCTGGAAGCATGCATGCTGGGGTCCTCCTGGAGCCCTCCTCCTCCAGAGAAGTCCAATACTCTCCAAAAACAGGGCACACAGACCCTGCAAGATGAGCCCCCTACTTGGAGAGAGACTGAGCCACCCAAAGACCTTCAAGGACAGAACACGAGTTCACCAATCAATGAATGCCGGGAGCATCCTCAGACCCTCTGCAGCCCATGCTGGTGTGAATATGGAGTCAGTTCTCTCTTGAAAATGCATTACTAGCGGCGGCGACATCCATGTTTGCAGAGGAAGAGAGGCCTTCCTTTTCCCAAGTGGACCCTACACTCCACTCAGGGGAATCAAAACAGAGGAGGATAGGGCTTTCTGCCTTCCTTCCCCAAGCTTTTCTTTCTGGGCGGTCGCAGGCTTTTGCCGAACCGTAGAGGCCAGGACCATCCAAGGGCACAAGGGCTCGGTCTGTGGGGGAGTCTCCAGGTGCGGTTACACAGAGCGGGGGCCAGCACACCCACTCCCGTTACTCATGCAGCTTGGCCCTGGCTGAATGCATGAACAATGTCTTCCAGGCACTCCCTGTTTTCACTTCCCGCTGCCCACAATGCCCCTCCTCTGTCTGACCCTTGGGGTCAACATGCTTTCTAGCTGATCCACCCGGCTTCCTCCCTCAGACCGGGCGGGAGGCTGTTTTTTAACTTCAGGGGTTCTTGGAGAAGAGCTTCCTCTGGCCCTCCACAATCACATCAAATGCACTGGATTCAGGGTCTTGAGATTTGAAGATTTGAAAGCAGAAGGATCAGTGAGTCCGAACAGCGGGAAGGAGCATGAAGCAGGACTTGAAAACTCCATGAGCTAAGGTGGGCAAAGGGCCGCCTCAGACAAGGAGAGATGGGAGCACCTCGAATTCTGGGTGCCTTGGTCAGTAACCTGAGAGGCCGGGGCAGGGGCACAGGGGTGTCTGAGGGGCTCTGGTGAGAGTTCCTGCAAGTGGCATACTGGGGCAGAGTGGGCGCTGCACAGGTGACCTGGGCTCGTGTTCTTGGAGCCCCCAGGTAGCTCTGTGACTTGGGGCCTGGGCTCCAACGCCCAGAAGGTCTGTTTCCACCCTGTAAAATGCTGGTGATTATACTAAATAACTACCTGCAGAGTCACTGTACGGATTGGAAATATTTACACAGGGCCTGTGTGTACTGGAGTTCCTCTCACCTGATATTTCCACGGGAGCTGGGGGTGCAGCTGTTGGGAAAGAGCTTGTGCCCCACTAGCTCAGTTCTGTACCCACCAGGGCAGCCTGAACCTCCGAGTGGCCACCCTCCTGAGCAATCGTAATTCACTAGGACAGAAACATGAAACAGTTTTGTCTCCTCCTACGGCTTTCACTGTGTTCTCTTAAAACTCCCTGCCTTGCTCTTTAATGATCCCTTGGGAAGGTTTTGTTACTTTTTAGTTACTTTTGTTAAAATCAAACTATTTATTCGAAAACTAGGAATGCAAAAAGTCAATTTGCTGTAAAGCCTCAATCATAGTTTAAATCTTAACTTTTCTGTTCCCTCCCTAAAGGATTAAACTGGGACACTATCTACCAGCCTGCAGGAGGAGGGACAGCCCGCTTTACAGATATCCCTTCTCCCCCACTCTCTCTAAGGCAGGATCCTGCTGCGTGCACTTTAGGCTGGGGTGTGGAGGAAGCAGAGAGAGAGGGATAAAGGTCATTTTACCTACCTGGTGGCCACTGCTGTACCTATCTCTGGTGCTTCTCTGCAGGTCATTTACTGGATTAAGATCCCCTATGTGGCAGGGTCCAACTCTCTCACGGGCCACGTGGGATGCTTTAGAAGGTGCTGGAGGTCACCATACTGTCTCCTTCCTGGGAGACAGGCTGCAGCTGGCCACTTCCACATCCACCTCCCTCTCAACTCCCATCCTGGGCGGCAAGCCCACAGCTCTGTGCTCAGGAGCCCTCACCTGGAAGGCAGTTTTCCCTGTGGTGCACTGGCAAGATGACCAGGGCCTGGCCACTTTGCAAGGTGCCCACTCTCCACGGGGGAAGTCTATGCACTCCGAAGTTAGTGAGATGGCCCCTACTGCCCCTCTCTCCCAGCCCTGCCACTTCTCAAATTCTCTTTTTTCTTTGTTTAGGTAAGATCATCAAATTCGATTCTTAGACATCAAATCAGGAATCAGAGTTCAGCTCTCCTTTATTGCATTCCCTGAAACATCTGTCTTCCTTTTTTTTTTGAGAAAGAGTCTCGCTCTGTCACCCAGGCTGTAGCACAGGGGGATGATCTCAGCTCATTGCAACTTCTGCCTCCCAGGTTCAAGCAATTCTCCTGCCTCAGCCTCCTGAGTAGCTGGGACTACAGGCATGCACTACCACACCTCGTTAATTTTTGTATTTGTAGTAGACACAGCTTCATCGTGTTGGCAAGCCTGGTCTGGAACTTTTGGGCTCAAGTTATCTGACAGCCTTGGCCTCCCAAAGTGCTGGGATTACAGGCATGATCCACCATGCCAAGCCTGTCTTCCTCTTCAGGAAGTATTTAACTTACAATTATTTATTATGTAATCCAGAAGACATTCAAGGTGGGTTACAGTGGCTCACGCCTGTAATGTCAGCACTTTGGGAGGTCGAGGTGGGTGGATCATCTGAGGTCAGGAGTTCAAGACCAGCCTGGCCAACATGGTGAAACCCCGTCTCCACCAAAAATTCAGAAATTAGCCTGTAATCTCAGCTACTCAAAAAGCTGAGGCTGGAGAATTGCTTGAACCTGGGAAACAGAAGTTGCGGTGAGTGAAGATCGTGTCACTGCACTCCAGCCTGGGCGACAGAGCAAGACTTGGTCTCAAAAAAAAAAAAAAAAAAAAAAGACATTCAAAATCACACAGGGTAAGAGCATACCACCATTGTAAGAAACAAACATTGCCAGATTTCTTTCACGTTGCCAGATTACTTTCAGTAGCACTTTACCAGTTCACAACAGCGTTGACTTTTCCATACTCCCACCAACACCAATGTATGGGTTAACCTGTGCTGTGTAACAAACTATTACCAACAATCACTTATTTCCACATTTAATACTTTGAATTCCTTTATATAATATTACATCTGGACCATGTTTGTCGTGATTCTGTATTTGCATGTGAAAGAAACCCAACTCTGACTGGACTATTAAGAAGAAAGGACGTATCGGCTGTGTAACTAAGCCACAGAAAGGACAGGCGGACTTTTTCTTCTTTTCGCTTTTGTTGTTGTTGTTCTGAACCTTTCATGATAATATATATGTATACTGCCGGGCTATAGAAGCGTGTTTGGTTTGTGTTTTGATCAAGGGTTGGGATGCGCATGGCAGCACTAGTGACACGGTCTACATCAACAACGATACACGGAGTCATAAAGCAGAAGACTGGTGCCCGGCACGCTCAACCTCGGTTTCCTCATCACTCAGCAGGATGTTGGGGTCCCCACAGCTAATGTGGGGCAGACGTCCAAGCTCTGCACATTGCAGGGAGCCCTCCACACCAGCTCCAGTGGTGCGTCTCCCTTGTGAATTCTTGTAATGCTCGTATTCCTGAATCAGCCCTTTGAAAACCTCGACCAGATCCAAGGTCTTGGCTGCTTCCAGGAGAGCCGTGCACTCCACCATGGGTAGCATGCACACCGCCAAGTAGGGCTTGACCTTTGTAGGGTTGATGCGGTCCTTGGTGGAAGGGGAAGTTGGAGGGGGAAGCCACAGGGCCTCACCCCCTGCACATGTGAGCTCAGCCGATTGTGGGGTGAGCAGTTTCAAGTCACCCCATGAACTCTTGCCAGGCCAGAAGTGGCACAGTCCTCTTTTCTCTTCTGAGCTTCTCTTGGCCTGTTGGCTTCATTGTTTTGGGCTGTGGATCCCCAATAATACTGGATCCATTGGGCCCGCTCTTTTCAGCCTCATCGCTAGATAAGATGTGTGCCCTCCACCAGCACCAGCCAGAAAAATGCAGGGGACATCATATGTCTATCATTGAATCAATTATTGTGTGTAGGGGGACCGGGTATTGTGTTAGGCTGAGCCTGAGCTTTTAGGTTTAGCTGTTTTATTTTTAGAAAAATTTGAGAGAGGAGGCTTGCTATGACTTAATATCCACTCTATAGATGCACTCCATTCTTTAACCTGCTTCATTGTAATTCTATTTCAGGGCTGTGGTGTTGCTTATTTGGCCAATCTCTATTAATGGATATTAAAGGTGTCTTCACATGGAATCAATCTAGGTTCCCATCAGTGGGGGAATGAGTGAAGAAAATGTGGTACATACACACCATCGAATACTATGCAGCCATCCAAAAGAACGAAATCATGTCCTTACAGCAACATGGCTGCAGCTGGAGGCCGTTTTCCTGAGCAAATGAACGCAGGAGCAGAAAACCAAACATCACATGTCCTTACTTATAAGTGGAAGCTAAACCTTCCGGACACATGGACATAAAGATGGTAACATAAACCCCGGGGACTTGAAAATGGGGAAGGGTGGGGAGCAAGGGCTGAAACACTTCCTAATGGGTACTGTGTTCATTATTCAGGTGATGGGTTCAACAGAACCCTTGTAACAAACCTGCGTATGCACCCTCTCAATCTAAAATAAAAAATGTTTAAACTGAGAACTGAAATTGACTGTGGCTCACCCTGTCATCCCAGCACATTGGGAGGCTGAGATAGGTGGATCACTTGAAGCCAGGAGTTTGAGACCAGACTGGTCAACATGGTGAAACCCCATCTCTATTAAAAACAGAAAAATTAACGATGGTGGTACACACCTGTCATTTCAGCTCCTCAGGAAGCTGAGGCAGGGACATCACTTGAACCCAGGAGGTGGAGGTTGCAGTGAGCAGAGATCACCCCACTGCAGCCTGGGTGACAGAGCAAGACTCTGTCTCCAAAAAAGGAAAAAAGAAAAGAAAAGAAATTGTCTTCGTTTTTTTTCCTGATGTGAACAATGCTTTCCATAACATTTTTTAATTTCTGTGAGCATGTGTCCAGATTTTTTATAAGACAAACTTCCAGAGGTGGGATTGCTGCCAAAAGGTATGCATGTTTAAAAATTTCACGTTGCCAGATTACTTTCAGTAGCACTTTACCAGTTCACAACAGCGTTGACTTTTCCATACTCCCACCAACACCAATGTATGGGTTAACCTGTGCTGTGTAACAAACTATTACCAACAATCACTTATTTGCTCACCACGCCATGGATCAGCAATTTAGCAGGGCCTAGAGGGGATGGCTCACCTATGTTGACCACAGTGCTCCAGTTTCACCGTCAGCTGGAGGTCAGTGGCCTTGCTCACATGTCTGGCAGTTGGCTGGCTGTTAGGTGGGGTGATGGAGAAAACTGGGTCATTTGCACTTGTCTATCAGCCTATCACTGGTGGCCAATGGATTCCCAAGAACTGGAAGATGCAAGTTCCATTGCATCAGTACTTTCGGGTAACATTTACTAATATCCCTTTAGCCAAAGCAAGTCATTTGGTCAAGGCCGGACCCATGGGGTGGAAAATAAATTATACCTCTTCATGGGACAAACTGGAAAATATTGTGGTCATTTTTGTGATGTGTCATAACTAGATTATATCATTTTGTTAATCTTGGTGAATATGACTGGTGAAAAATGAAATCAGCTTTTCTTACATTTTACTATTCTGATGGATCAGTTTTCTCCCACTTTGCATCCATCATTTTTATTTGTTATATACTCGACCATCTGTATTTTTATTTAGGGTAAAAAATAGTCATTTTTTAAAATAATAATACTTAACATGTGTATTTTTTCCCCACTAAATTGAAACAGCATTTTTGCCATATATTAATGCTCTCATATATATACTTGGATTTTATTTGTTCTGGGTCCTCTATTTTTTCTGTACCTTACTATTATTATTTTTTTAAGTAAAAATAAGATGGGGTTTCACCATGATGGCCAGGCTGATCTTGAACTCCTAACCTCAGGTGATCCACCCACCTCGGCCTCCCAAAGTGCTAGGATTACAGGCATGAGCTACTGCACCCAGCCTGTACCTTATTTGTTAATCCCCTTTTCCCCCCCAGAGAAAAGGGTCTTGCTAAGTTGGCCAGGCTGCCCTTGAACTCTTGGACTCAAGCTATCCTCTTGCCTGAGCCTCCTGGGTAGCTAGGATCACAGGTGCTGCCACCATTCCTGGCTCCTATTTACTATTCTTATTTTTAAAATTTCTTTTTCTGGCTGGGCATGGTGGCTCATGCTTGTAATCCCAGCAATTTGGGAGGCTGAGGTGGGCAGATCACCTGAGGTCAGGAGTTTGAGACCACCCTGGCCAACATGGCAAAACCCCATCTCTACCAAAAATACAAAAATTTCCTGGCCATGGTGATGTGTGCCTGGTGGCAGCTACTTGGGAAGCTGAGGCAGGAGAATTGCTTGAACCTGGGAGGTGGAGGTTGCAGTGAGACTCTGTACCCCCCAAATTAATTTTTCTATTAATTAATGTTTATCCTTCTATTTAGAGTTAAAATCATATTTGTCCAGTTTGAAAAGAATTGGAATTCAAATTGGAATCATAGTACATTTGTGTCTTACTTTTGTACAATGTATTCATTCTCATCTAACATTTCCTAACCTGGACTAGAGATTCGGTGCCATCCCTGTTAGAATGCCAATTGCTTTTCTTGCAGAAAGGACAGCTTGATCCGAAAATTTATACATAAATACAAGGGTCCTCAAATAGCCAACACAATCTTGAAAAAAACATTGGAGGATTTCTATTTCCTGAGTTCAAAACTTAATACAAAGCCACAGTCTGATACTTACAACTCAACCACAAAAGGACAAATAATCCAGTTTAAAAATGGACAAAGGGTTTGAATAGGCTATTTTTTTATACTGTCTTTGTCTGGTTTTTGGATCAGGGTAATAGTAGTTTCATAAAATGAATTAGGAAGTCTTTTCTGTTTTTTGGAAGAGATTGTGTAGAATTGGTGTTACTTCCTTTTGGATTGTTTGAGAGAATTTTCCTGTGAAACCATCTGTGCCTGGAGATTTCCTTTTTTTTTTTTTTTTTTTTTTTGAGATGGAGTCTTGCGCTGTTGTCCAGGCTAGAGTGCAGTGGCGAGATCTTAGCTCACTGAAACCTCCACCTCCTAGGTTCAAGTGATTCTTCTGCCTCAGTTTCCTGAGTAGCTGGGACTATGGGCATATGCCATCATGCCTGGCTAATTTTTGTATTTTTAGTAGAGATGGGGTTTCACCACATTGGCCAGGCTGGTCTCAAACTCCTGACCTCCTGATCCCTCACCTCGGCCTCCCAAAGTGCTGGGATTGCAGGCGTGAGCCACCGCACCCAGCCTGTGATTTCCTTTTTAAGAGCTTTTTAAATTATAGAGTCAATTTCTTCAACAGTTATAAGATTATTCAAATAATCTGTTTTATTTTGAATGGTAGTTTGTGATTTTCAAAGAAGTGGTCTGTTGGATCTAAGTCGGTAAATTTATGGTTATAGAATTGTTCACAGTATTCACTTACTATTCTTTTGATACCTGCAGGGTCTGCAGAGATATTCTGTTTCACTTCTGATATAGTGATTTGTATTTTTACTCTTTCTTTGTCAGGCTGGCTAGAAGTTTGTAACTTTTATAGATTTTTTTCAAGGAACCAGCTTTTGTTTCATTGGTTTTCTCTATTGTTTTTCTGGTTTCAAGTTTACTGATTTCTTGTTTTTCGGTGCCCTCCCTCCCTCCCTCCCTTCCTTCCTTCCCTCATTTCTTTCCTTTTTTTCTTTCTTCCTTTTTTCTTCTCGCTCTGTCACCCAGGCTGGAGTGCAGTGGCGCAATCATAGCTCATTGCAACCTTGAACTCCTGGGCTCAAGGGGTTCTCTCACCTCAGCATGCCAAGTAGCTGGGACTACAGGCACTTACCTTAAAAAAAAAAAAAAAAAAAAAAATCATTCTACCATAAAGACACATGCACACGATGTTCACCGTGTACTATTCACAATAGCAAATACATAGAATCAACCTAAATGCCCATCAGTGACAGATTGGATGAGGAAAATGTGGTCTATATACACCAGGGAATGCTATGCAGCCAAAAGAAAAAAATGAGATCATGTGTTTTTGTAGGAACATGAATGAGCTGGAGGCTATTATCCTTTGCAAACTGATGTAGAAACAGAAAACCAAATACTGCATATTGTCACTTATAAACTAAATAATGATAATTCATGAACACAAAGAAGCAACGGGAACTGGAGTTTATTTCAGGGTGGAGGGTGAAAGGTGGGAGAGGAGCAGAAAAGATAACGATGGGCTTAACACCGGTGTGATAAAACCTGTACAACAAACCCCTGTGACGTGAGTTGACCTGTGTAACAACCTTCACTTGCACCTGACCCTAAAATGAAAGTTTTCACAATACTAGCTGGTGACTTTGCTAGCTCACTTATGAGATCTAACAGCTTTATTGGGAAATTATTTGAGGTTTTCTTTGTAGACCCATACGTCATCTGTGAATACAGGCAGCTTTAATTCATCTTTCCACATTTATATGCCCCCCTTTTTCAATGTCTTCCTGAGCTGGTGAGGGCTTTCTGTACGGTCTCAAAAAAGGGAAACACCCAAGAGCTTTCCTTCTTTTTCTGGTGACATGACTTGTTGGTAAGTCATCTCCCAAGAGGGTGAAAGTACATTTTTAATTGCTGGACTCTGCCTCCATGACACTCACCTTTGGAGGCAATCCAACCGCCTTAGTTTGAGAAGGGAGCAGAGCAAGCTTTGGTAGTCTGAGAACTAAAAAAGCGAGTGACTCAACACTTGTGGTGGTTCTTCTCCCAGAATGAATGCCCAGTGATTATGTGTCCCTGATAGGTAGACTCTAAACATGTCTTCAGGGCAGCTGGGCCCAGAGTAGAATGGACATTCATTGAACTGAGAGGATGGGACTCTTAGGCTACCACAGGGCAAATATGGTGAGAAAGTCTTTGCATCACGTGTGGCTCTGAGGAAGTGGAGGCATACAGGGGCAACATCTAACTTCAGAAGTCCTGGCCATGCTGGGAGATGGGCCTTTGCTTTGGACTGAGTGAAGACTGATGGTAGTCCTGGGTGGCAGAGATATGGCAATGCCAGAGGCAATGGCTTGAGAGACTCCAGGGCGGTTGGAGTCCTGGATCCGCTTGGGAGTGAATGTTTGAGGGATTTTGGTTTGGAGTGCATGTGACTCTGACATGGTCCAGAAGAGGATAAGAGAGAGCCCCCAGGAGGGCAAAAATGTACTTCCTGCTAGTCACACATTTAGGGGTTCAAATCAACTTAATTCGACTGTGGGAGATGAAATAAATAAAAAGCAGAACCCATTAACTGTTTTGAGAAGGAACGACGGATGTGTGAAGTACATGGTGAGCCGCTGTATACTGGTGTATACTGTTCTCACAGGTCAAGGGAAGGAAAGGTGTGCACAGCATGGAGGCCGAGCAGGTGAAGCCGGTACTGGAGGGTCAAGTCCATTGGCCCGTTCGGAGTGGAGGAGAACCCAAGGCTCTGGGTCCAGGGTGGGGGGAACTTGAACAATGCTTCTGCAAAGAACTTTCCTACAAGGAGTT